CCCCGCCTCTCCCGCCCCCTGCCCCGCCTCCCCCTCCAGCCCCGCCTCTCCCCCCTCCCAGCCTGTCCTCCAGCCCCCTCTTCTCCCTCCCCACCAGTCCCTCCTCTCCCTTCCCCGGGCCACTCCTCTCCCTCCCCACCAGCCCCTCCTCTCTCTCCCCGCAGCTCCTCCTCTCCCCCCCCCTCCCCCCCAGCCCTCCCTCCCCCCGCCTCCTCCCTCCCTCTCAGCTCCTCCTCTCCCTCACCTCCAGCCCCTCCTCTCTCCCCCAGCCTCTCCTCTCTCCCCCAGCCCCTCCTCTCTCCCCCCAGCCCCTTTTCTCTCCCCCAGCTCCTCCCCTCCCTCCTCCCAGCCCTGCCTCTCCCTCCCCCCAGCTCTTCCTCCTTCCCCCAGCTCCTCCGCCCCCTCCCCCAGCCCCGCCTCTCCCTCCCCCCAGCTCCTCCTCTCCCTCCCCCCAGCTCCTCCCTCCCCCCAGCTCCTCCTCTCCCTCCCCCCAGCCCCGCCTCTCTCCCCCAGCCCCGCCTCTCTCCCCCAGCCCCGCCTCTCCCTCCCCCAGCCCCGCCTCTCTCCCCCAGCCCCGCCTCTCCCTCCCCCAGCCCCTCCTCTCTCCCCCCAGCCCCTTTTCTCTCCCCCAGCTCCTCCCCTCCCTCCTCCCAGCCCTGCCTCTCCCTCCCCCCAGCTCTTCCTCCTTCCCCCAGCTCCTCCGCCCCCCCTCCCCCCCCCCAGCCCCGCCTCTCCCTCCCCCCAGCTCCGCCTCTCCCTCCCCCAGCCCCGCCTCTCCCTCCCCCCAGCCCCGCCTCTCCCTCCCCCCAGCTCCGCCTCTCCCTCCCCCAGCCCGCCTCTCCCTCCCCAGCCCGCTCTCCCCCCCAGCCCCTCTCCCTCCCCCAGCTCCGCCTCCCTCCCCAGCCCCTCTCTCCCCCAGCCCTCCCTCCCTCCCCCAACCCCTCCCCTCCCTCCCCCCCAGCTCCTCCCCTCCGGGCCCTCGCGCCTGTTCCCGACGCCCCGGCTTCAGGCGAGCTCTGCCCGCACGACCCGGGACCTGCTGGGAGCAGGACGCCCTTCCCGCGGCCCGTCCGTCCGTTACCCGCCTTTGCTGGAAAACAGGCCGCAGACTGTAGGTGTTCTCGGGCTCTCCCGAGTTCTTCTCAGCCCCCGGCAGTGCCGCGGCGGCGCCCACCGAGAAGGACGCCCCGGCCGAGGCAGCCATGGCCCCGCTCCGGCTCCGCGGCCCGAGCGGAGGCCGTCGCCAGGGCAACCGGGGCGGCCGCGCGCCTGCGCACTCCCGCCGCCGCCTCCCCGCGCCTGCGCACCGGCTGCCGGGCGGGCCGGGGGGGGGGGGTGCCCCTGGGCGGGGCCCGGACCCATCTCAGCGCTGCGGCCCCTGCGCGGGGACAACCTTGCTTTCGTTCTGCACGACTTAGGAACGGGTTTTATATTTTTAAGTGATCGAAAAAAAAAAATCAAACGAATATTTCGTGACACGCGAAAACAGTCGACCCTCGTGCATCCAGTGCAAAATTCAGAAAAAAGCAGACTCAAGGTGTATCCCCCAGTTGCTGGTCCTGTTTTAAAAGATTGCAGCACCCTAGCCTCTACACGCCTCAAAAACTAGGAAAAGAAACTCCCCCCACTATGCATTGGGCTTCCTCTGGGTTGGTTAACAAATTGCAAAACTTCCTCCTATCAGGATGCTAAGGGAGTAGTTTCTGTAAAAAGCCCCAGAAGAGACCAACTAATTTTACTATTCAGGGTTTTGGCTTCAGTCCGTTTTCTTAAAAAAAAAAAAAAAAAAAATCCGTTTTCTTGATAGTAGAGCCTAGATTGGTCTCCCTGACTCCAGGAAAGCCCTGAATTTCACCTTCCCAGTCCACACTGCACCCTGTCCCCAGAATGGCTTTCCTTTGTCACTGCTCTGCTTGAAAATCCTTCAGTGGTTCCTTATGACCGTCTCCCCAGCATCCACTCCAAATAAGACCTCTCATGATCTGGCCAGATTGCTGAGCCCTCCCCTGGCGCTGAGCAGCAGAGCAGCAGCCTGGGGTGGGTGCCAGGGCCTTGGGCTAGGTGTGCAGCCAGCATCAGCTAAACGCTGCCTGAACTCTGTCCGCTTTCGCTGCCCCTTGGCTCAGCAGCACCAGCCGCATCTTTTGCTGCAGTCGTGCATCCACTGACTAGCCTGGCACAGAAACCCAGTGTCCCCTGGGGGCAGATAGTGTCTGCTCCTTGCTGTTTCACCTGCCTTAACAAATCCCTTTTTTTTTTTTTTTTTAAGATTTTATTTAGGGATCCCTGGGTGGCGCAGCTGTTTGGCGCCTGCCTTTGGCCCAGGGCGCGATTCTGGAGACCCCGGATCGAATCCCACGTGGGGCTCCCAGTGCATGGAGCCTGCTTCTCCCTCTGCATATGTCTCTGCCTCTTTCTCTCTCTCTCTCTCTCTCTGTGACTATCATAAAATAAATAAAAATTTTAAAAAAGATTTTATTTATTAATGAGAGACAGGGAGAGAGAAAGGCAGGGACACAGGCAGAGGGAGAAGCGGGCTCCATGCAGGGAGCCCTACGTGGGACCTATCCCAGGTCTCCAGGATCACACCCTGGGCTGAAGGCAGCACTAAACCGCTGAGCCACCCAGGCCGCCCCACAAATCATACTCCTAATATGCAGACTCTCTCCTCGTTTCTTATTTCTTCAGTTATATTTTTCTCATCCTATCTACTATCTACTATGGTCCAACTACAAACACAGATTAGATGCATAATTTAATTCAATAAATATTTTATTATTCCATCTGTGCTAGGGCCTAGAGATCCAAAAGTGAGTAAAACCAAGATCTTGCCCTAAAGAGTGAACAGATTTTGCTGGGGAGCAATGGGCTGAGTGGAGCACCAATTGCTATAACAGAAAGCTGAAGGACAACCTGTTCCCAAGATGGGCTTACTTTTCTTGAGAGTGATCATAAACAAGGCAACGTCCTCCTTTCTTTTTTTCTTTTAAGATTTTATTTATTTATTCTTAAGAAACACAGAGAGGCAGAGACACAGGCAGAGGGAGACACAGGCTCCCTGCAGGGAGCCCGGTGCAAGACTCCATCCCGGGACCCCAGGATCACGCCCTGAGCCAAAGGCAGACACTCAACCACTGAGCCACCCAAGCGTCCCAGCCACGTCCTCTTTATCCCCTGATGATGCTTAAGAGGCATATACAAGGTAAGGGACAGGCAACTGTTTTCTTAACAAAATGTTAACCCTGTCCTGACGAATAAATTAACATAAGCCCCTTGGCCAAAAACCTGATTGGAGGCCAAGCCAAGAGCTAGTCGTGGCTTTCAACTGAGGAGAAACAGCCAGGGTGAAAGCCCGTTCTGAGTGTGAGGTGGTCCTGGGATGTGGGAGAAGGAAGGGGACGCAGGTGTCCTCTGGAGTCCCACAGGGGCAGCCAACAGCCAGGTGGGGGGGACTGGAGCCAACCGTGGGGCGCCCCAGCTCCTTCCTTGCCCCTTCCCCTCGCATTCCTGCTTTCCTCTCCTCTCCCCCGCCCTCCCTCCCCTGGTAATGGAGGGATTCCTGTGTTCTGGAGGCATCTGGAGCTTCTCCGCGACCTGGGGCAGGGCAGGGACAGCGCTGGGGCCCAGGGGGCTGTGGAGGGGAGACCGTGGCACCTGGGGCCCCGCTCCCTTCCTGCCTTTGCCCGCTCTGTGGCTCCAGAGCCCGGGGTGCCCCAGCCCCTTCCCTTGCAAGGACCCATCTCCCCATGTCTCCCCGTGTCTTCCCCGGCTGCTGCCCCTCCGATGTCCCAGCGGCTCCCCTCCAGCCGTCTGCTGACCCCGCGCACCACCCGGCACCACCGCCTGACCACCGCCCTGAGGTAGGAGATGCACCACGTGAGAAACAGCTGGCACCACAGCTCTCCACGCCCACCCCCCCCCACCCCCCGTGTCTCCCCTCTACTGAGGAATCCCTTCCACCCCTGTTTGCTGGGCTATTTCAAGAATCAGTTCAGACACAAGGGACCCTTCCTTCATCTCTCAAAGACCCCCTCCTTGGAGGTTCGCTGTTCCTCCGAACTCTGCATCCTGCTCACCTCTAACATGGCCCTTACCATATGACATTTAAATTCTCTGTGGGTGTGTTTGTTCCCCTAGATCTGACCATGACCTTTTCAAGGACAAGGCAGGGCCCAAGGCCAAGGACCATGTCTCGATCATCTTTGGATCCACAGTGGATACCCAGTGTTCAGCACTTACTTAATTGCACAGAAGAGTAAAGAAAAGAGCACTGGTGGATTACTCAGCCCCGGCTGCCCTAACAAAATACTACAGGCCGAGTGACTCAAACAAAGATCTTTATTTTCTGGATGCTGGAAGTCCCAACATGAAGGTACTAACAAAGCTAGTTTCTACTGCGGCTCCCACCCTTGGCTTGCAGGTGGCCACCTTCTGGCTGCTTCCTCATGTGGCCTTGTTTTCTGTGCTTGTGTGGAGAGAGACATCTAGTATCTCATCCTCTTCCCACAAGGATGCCTGTCCTGCTAGATTAGGGCCCTACGTTTATGACCTCGTTTAACCTTAATTAGGTTCTTAAAGGTTCTCTCTACAAATAGAGTCACATTGGGGGTTAGGGCCTCAACCTGTGAGTTTTAAGGACACAAAATTCCATCTATAACAACTGGTTGAACTTGAATTTAGAAGATAAGAGCTCAGGTACTGACTTTCCCTGAACCCAGTTGAGTGCTTTTAGGCAGCAAATCCATTATGCTCTATAAACCTCAACTTCTGTGACATGTGGCCAGTTTTATGGAGTCGTTGAGAGGCTGAAATGAGACCGTGGCTGGAGGACATTTTGTGAACTATAAATTCCTGTACCTGGTAATGATTTAATTATTCCTTCTACAACTATATCATCTTGCAGTTTACAATGTGACTTAAAACGTATGTATCCTTCAACAGATGTACAAGGAATCATTACTGTTATTATTACTACAGGAATACCTAAAAGGAAAGTTTGTTTATAATCCATACTGCAGAAAGGATTCAAGGCAGCTTCTGAGTAAAACTCTCACACAGGAGAGGGCATTACCTATCACTTCTCACAGAGGCTGTAGAAAAGGCCCAGGAAGCTGTTGATCAAATGAATGACCACCAGGAGAATCTGGAGGAGGCTGATGCACAGAAGGGTGGAGAAGAAGGACACGTGCCAAATGACTGCTTTAGAAGGCTCCAGGCAGACAGAGTTCCAGAGTGAATGATCATACAAATAATTCCTATCCCAAAAAATAAGGAGACCGGGGTTTGAGGAATAAGTAAGAAAAGCCAAGTAAACAACCTCAATAAAAACCTGGGGCCTAAAAAACAAAAACAAAAACAAAAACCCTGGGGCCTTCCCCAGCCAGGGTCATAGGCCTAGACTCTTCAGGGTGGCTATTGTGGCTGCATCTGCAAAATTCTGAGCATCAGAGAAGGGGGTGCTAGGGCAGCCCTGGTGGCGCAGTGGTTTAGTGCCGCCTGCAGCCCGGGGTGTGATCCTGGAGACCCGGGATCGAGTCCCACGTCGGGCGTCCTGCGTGGAGCCTGCTTCTCCCTCTGCCTGTGTCTCTGCCTCTCTCTCGCTCTCTCTGAATGAATAAATAAATAAATATTTTTAAAAAAAGAGAGAAGGGGGTGCTAGAACGTGTGACCAAGAGGAGTTTGTAGTCCATCTGTGTGTCTTTCTGTCTGTCTTTCTGTAACTCTCTGAAAAGACTGAAAATCCAAGTCTCCATCCACTTACCTGTTATGCAAGTCTTGGAATGGGTAACCGTATTTCCAAGCTTGTGTCTGATTGAAGGATGAGCCATCAAACATGCAAAATGGACCATCTTTCAGGGCTACGCCGGAAGTGATAAAGCAAATCAAGGCTCCAAGAGAAGCCAGGCCACTGGACAGCAGAGCAGTGAGTATCTGTAGAGGGAGAGAAGAAGCCATGAGGTGAGACGGGGTCATGACCAGGTGATGGAGTGATCTGGACAAGTTGAATTTCCCTGGCACTCAGGCTTTTCCCCATCGTATCACATGGGGATAATGCTGCCCCTGGCACATCCTTTAAAGAATAACCAAGGCAGGGTGGCTGATGAGCGGTCAGTGGATAGAGCCAGGAGGGGTGGGAGAGAAAGCCCTGAGAAGGGGAAGCAGTGGAACCTGGACCTGGGTCTCCCTGGCCCAGTAGGCTCTCCAGGTTGGCATAAAAAACTTTTATATTCAGGGGCCGCCTGGGAGGCTCAGTCGGTTACCGACTCTTGATTTCAGCTCAGGTCACAATCTCGGGGTCTTGAGATAGAGCCCTGCATCAGGCTCTGGGCTAAGCATGGCATCTGCTTAATATTCTCCCTCTCGTTCTCCCTCTACCTACCCCCTCCCCACTCATGCATGTGCTCTCTCTCTCTCTCTCAAATAAATAAATCTTAGGAAAAAACCTTTTACATAGCCTCTGGGTAGAAGGATTGGATGGTCATCGCCTGGCCATTTCTGACTCTTAGAAGGGAAAGCTGTATTCTCAAAAGTTCCAAACTCCTACCCCTGGTTCCTCTCTTTCTCAAATCAAGCATGAAAGGAAACAAGGGAGGTAGGAGGGAAGGGGTTAGAAAAGAAGGGAAGGAGGGAGACAGACAGAAATTACAGTCAGCTCTGAAGTGACTCCAGTTGTGTCATTGTACTTCTAGTCTGTGCACCACTCACTTCCCTCCCAAAACAAAACGAGTGCATTTCCTTGGCAGGATTCTAGCTTGCTTTTAAATTGGCTTCTTTCTGAGAATACTAGGTCATGTTATCCCTTCCAAAGACTACATATTTTAAGAATTTAAATAAAACATATATATGTGTATATATATGTTTATTTAAAGCTATATGTGTGTGTGTATATATAGCTTTTATACAGAATCGTGGAGTCTTCTTCCCACGATGTCAGGCTGGTTTGGAGGTTGGGAAGAGCCAGGGAAATGCTCAAAATGTGATCCTGGCCCTGACAGCATCACATCACCTGAAAACCTGTTAGAAATGCACACTTTCAGGGATCCCTGGGTGGCTCAGTGGTTTAGCACCTGCCTTTGGCCCAGGGCGCGATCCTGGAGTCCCGGGATCGAGTCCCGCATCGGGCTCCCAGCATGGAGCCTGCTTCTCCCTCCTCCTGTGTCTCTGCCTCTCTCTCTCTCTCTCTCTATGTCTATCATAAATAAATAATCTTTAAAAAAATGCACACTTTCTGGTTCACACCAACCTCTGAATCAGAAAAATCTAGGGGTGGAGCACCAGGGGGGTTCAGTAGGTTAAGCGTCCGATTCTCGATTTCAGCTCAGGTCATGATCTCAGGGTTGTGAGTTCAAGCCCTACATGAGGCTCAGTGCTGGGCCTGGAGCCTGCTTCAGATTCTTTCTCTTCCTCTAGCTCTCTGCTCCAGCCCCCTCCCTCTAAAAAAAATAGTCAACTCTTGTCTCTCCTACCTTCTCCTTTCCTCAGAGAATATATCCAGAGAGAGAGAGAGAGAGAGAGAGAGAGACTGTCTGGGGTGGGGCCCAGCAATCTGTTTTAACAAACCCTGCAGGGATTCTGATACACAAGTGTGAGAACCACTCACTCGCCCGGGGAAAACCTGACCAGACTGAGAACAGATAGTGAATGAAATGTGTGGGTGTTTATATTTAATTCTTTAACATGTAATTCTGAATCAGTGGGGTTTCCCATATGTGGGCTGCAGATATCAAAGTAGGCTGTAGAGTTACTGTAAGGAGTCCACAAATTCATGTGTCTGAGACTGAATAAGCAATATATATGTACTGAGATTTTTCAGATATGTATAAATGCCACTGTAATTTACTCTGGGCCTCAGTTTTATTTTCGGTAAAATGGAGGAGTTAGACTAGAATAAAGTCATTAGATGATTTCTGGAAAACCTTTCAACTCTAAGAAAAAATAACCAGGAAATTTTCTTTTTTTTCTTTTTATTAAGTAGGCTCCAGGGCAGCCCGGGTGGCTCAGTGGTTTAGTACCGCCTTCAGCCCAGGGCCTGATCCTGGAGACCTGGGATCAAGTCCCACGTCGGGCTCCCTGCATGGAGCCTGCTTCTCCCTCTGCCTGTGTCTCTGCCTCTCTCTCTCTCTCTCTCTCTCTGTGTGTGTGTGTGTGTATCTCTCATGAATAAATAAATAAAACCTTAAAAAAAAAAAAAGTAGGCTTCACACCCAGTGTGGGGCTTGATCACAACCCAGAGACTGAGTGCATTTCCAGCCAGGCACCCCAGGAAATTTTCTATCAATGACACATGACTGCAGTGCACTTAACTTATGTCCATATTATTCAATAGTCTAAAAATAATGGTAACAATTCCTCACATGTTTATAGACATTTCTGGCTCATTAAGCACTTATTCCCTTAATTTGATCCTGTTCACTCCCATTTTATAGATGAGGACCTGACGCTCAGAAGGATTAAGGAACTTGCCCAGCAGCTTAGAGTTGTTAAGGGGGTACAGTCAGGACCTGACTTCAAGCCCCAAGATTGAAATTGCCTCTTTACTCTACTTGTAGAGTAATAGAATGGGGGTACATTCTGGGTATTAGGAGAGTAGAATCTGGTGCTTACACTTCGGCAGGGCCAACTCTTACTGAAGCAGCCATATCTCCAGCCCATCAAGGAGATGAGGGTAGCTGCAGTGAGTACCTGGGAGAGGAGAGAAGAATGATAAGAAGACTTTGGGTAACTGACATTTCTAGCTGCACCTGTGGCTGTTGAAATAGATTGGTTGGGCACCTCACAAGGATTTGATTATCCCGTATCTTCCCCAGAGGGTTTGGCTTTGACTATCAGGATGAAATTGGATGACTAGCCTGATCGGACTCTCTGGATGGTAACCTTTACACCCAGCCTTTTAGTCCCAAGCCAAAGTTCACCAACAAGACTTGACAAGTCTTCCTAGGGTCTCCCATTCCTTGGAATTGCCATAGACCCAAGACTAGTTTGCTAGATCAAGCATCCTTTTCTTTCTTTTTTTTTTTTTTTGTTAAGATTTTATTTTTAAGTAATCTCTTACCCAATGGGGGGCTCAAACTTATAACCCTGAGATCAAGAGTCACATGCTCTGCCAATTGAGCCAGGCAGGCACCCCAAGATCAAGCATTCTTGCAAGGAACCCAAACACTACTTCCCTGCCATCTCCCTGCTCCACCTGAGGGGTGTTTGGGGAGTTCACACCCAGGGAACTCCAAACACTTACCATGAGGCCTCCTCCCCAGAGCCCAGAGCCCAGCATGGCATGCTTGCCAATGAGGCCCCTCAACAGGTAGGTCACATCCCAGTTAGGCAAGAGAAGCACCATGTTGGTTCCAGCAGCACACAGGGCAGTAGTCCCAAGGCTCAGCCCCAAGATGCGAGAGCAGGTCCGTGAGCATGCCATCACATCAGGAGACAACAGCATCCTGGAACCAATGGATGGAGGGTCATGGTAGCTCTGCTGCTGGGAGCATCAGGAAAGGGAACACCCATAGCAAGGGTGGGATGGGGGAAACAGACTACAGATACTGTCCCCTCCTGGGGTCAGATCCAGAGAGCCAAAGAACTTCCTTAAAATCTCTGCTTTTTATAAATAATCCCCAAAGGATAGGATTTTAATTCTCCATTTTCTGCCAACCCCCACTCATCCCATCATATTTTGCTTATACCTTTATATAGCCAGTGATTATCTGTATTTGGGGCAGGAAAAAATGTTTAAAGGTGTTTAACTCTCTTTGAAAGATGTCATTTTAAAGATGTCCACTGCCAGCACTTCCATTCAATAGTACAAGAAGTGCTATCTAGTACAATAAAATAAAAAGAAGCAAAAGTAATATAGATAAGAAAGAAAGAAATAAGGTAACATGATTATCTATGTAGAGAATCCAAAGTAATTTACCAAAAAGTTACTAGAACTAATAAGTGAGTATAGCAAGTAACACAATAAAAATATACAAAGATTCTCTTATATTTCTATATACAAGTAATAATAAATTATAAAAACTTTTAAAAACAATATTTAAATAGCATAAGAATAGGGATGTCTGGGTGGCTCAGTGGTTGAGCATCTGTCTTTGGCTCAGGTTGTCATCCCGAGTTCCTGGGATCAAGTCCTACATCAGATTCTCTGCATGGACCCTGCTTCTCTCTCTGCCTATGTCTCTGCCTCTCTCTGTGTGTCTCTCATGCATAAATAAATAAAATCTTTAAAAAAATAAGTAACATAAGAATAGAAAATATTTATGGATACATTTAACAAAATATGTGCAAGACTTGTACATTAAAAATAACAAAATATCGCTGAGAAAAATTAAAGACCTAAATAAATGGAGACATATATACCACATTCACAGATCAAAAGACTATCATTAACATGTCAATTCTCTCTCAATTGATGTGTAGATTCAATACAATCTCAGTCAAAATCCTAGCAGCATTTTGTTGTAGATAACAAATTGAATCTAAATTGATGTGGAAATGCAAAGGCCAAAATACTAGATTAGCCAAAATACTTTTGAAAAAGAGCAGAGTTGGAAGACTTACACCATGTGATTTTAAGACATTTATAAAGTTACAAAAAGTAAAGTACTGGTATATAAAGACATACAGACCACCAGAACAGACTAGAGAATTCAGAAATAGACATACACACATGAGCAAATGATTTTTGAAAAAGATACTGTTTCAGTGGGAAAAGGACAGTCTCCAACAGCACTAGAACAAACTATATGCAAAACAAAAAATATATACCATGATTATTACTGTAAACTATATTCAATAATTAGAAATGAACCATAGGTCTAAACTTACTAAATATTTAGAAGAAAGCAAAGGAGAAAACATTGGAATTTTTAAAAAACATTTTATTTTTAAGTAATCTCTATATCCAACATGGAGCTCAGAACCACAACCCTGAGATCAAGAGTCACATGCTCCACATACTGAGCTGTCCAGGTGCCCTGGGATCTTAAGTTAGGAAAAGATTTATTAGATAAAAGACAAAAAGTACAATCCTTAAAAGTGATAAATTTAACTACTTCAAAATTAATTTGCTCTTCACAAAACACTTTGGGGGCACCTGTGCGGCTCAGTTGGTTAAGCATCCAACTCTTGATTTTAGCTCAGGTCATGATCTCAGGGTCGTGGGGTCAAGTCCCACATACAGTTCCAAGCTGGGCATGGAGCCTGCTTAAGATTCTCTCTCTCTAAAAAAAGAAAGAAAGAAAGAAAGAAAGAAAGAAAGAAAGAAAGAAAGAAAGAAAGAAAGAAAGAAAGAAAGAAAGAAAAAAGAAAATGAAGAAGGAAACCCACAGACCGAGACAATACAACGTGTATTTTGCAAATATGTAGGTGAATGTGAATACATGCACATCTGATAACAGACTTGTAACTATACTATATGAAGAACTCTTAAAACTATACAATAAGACAAGCAACTTGATTTTAAAAATGGGAAAAAGAGGGCAGCCCGGGTGACTCAGCGGTTTAGCGCGCCTTCAGCCCGGGGCGTAATCCTAGAGACCCAGGATCGAGTCCCACATCGGGCTCACTGCATGGAGCCTGCTTTGCCCTCTGCCTGTGTCTCTGCCTCTCTCTCTCTCTCTCTCTGTGTGTGTGTGTGTGTGTGTGTGTGTGTGTCAAGGGAATAAAGTCTCTTAAAAAATAAAAGGAAAAACTTGATTAACTTAGCATTATCTGTTTATCTTAGGGTGAAGAGCCTGGTGCCAGGCACAGCCGTGAACAGGGTGGCTGGTGGTCTGTTCCGGCCTCTTCCACACCCCCCCCCCAATCTTTCCTTCCCCTAGTCCCAGAGTCCACGCTTGCCTCCTGGGACTCCTCCCAGCAGAGCACTTCCGGCTGCAGTTGCTAATGTTTCAATGTGAAGAGTTGCCTTCACCCTGTGCCCTCCCCCTCTCTCATGAGAACTCGCCCCCCAAAGGCAAGGCCTCCAGGACAGGGGCCTGCGTTGGGGGAGTGGGGGAAGGATATGAAGCAACAGTGACCCTTAGCCCAGGGACGGAGGAGGCTGGAGGGAAGGGTAGGGACGAGGAAAGAGGAGGGATGCTGGTCTCCCCCTAGCCGCCCCCTCCCAGATGGCGCACTCCTGGAGGCCCCTTTTCCTGAAATACTGGCTGCTGGGTCCTCGTCCTCCAGCCCCCAGGGTGACGAACGGGCCCTGCTGTCAGGAGCCCGGGCGCCTGGAGGAAGCCAGCCCTCGCCACAGTGTGCCCACCAACCTCCGGGATATAAACACACGGCTGTGGCCCCCCTCCCACTGTCCCATGAGGGCAAAGCTCCCGTACGTCCCTGTGCTGGAGCAATGGACGGTGTTAGCAAGTCAATGAGTCTAAGCCACACGCCCTCCCGGAAGACTGATACTGTGTCAGGGGCCCAGGTAAGGACCCGAGTGTGGCTGGACAGCAGCGGGGCCTGGAGACGGCGGCGCCAGGAACGCCTCACCCCACCTGCGAGTAAGGCCCGTGGGCAGGGACATCAGAGCAGACACCCACCCCCCCCACCCCCCACCCCCCGCCACGGTCTCTCCTATGGAAAATTCTGTCAGGGGAGAATTCTGTAGGGGAGGCTAGAGAGCATAAGCGTGTGAGGACGAGCAGGGAGCTGAGTGGGCCTGGGGGAGGGAATCCCAGACTCCCGCCGAGCGTTGACCTGGGAAGGCTTGGCCGCTGCGCCAACTGAGTCACGTCAGTCTGAACTTCACTTCCCCTCCCTGACCTTGTCACACAGGAAATCACTCAGGACGCAGGACGCAGGGCCATCCTCAGAAACACTTCCACGAACGTGAGCCTGGAGACGAGCAAACAGTGCGGCTAATTTGATCTCCAAGAGAACAGCGGGATCATGAGGCGAAGCCTTAAAACCGGGCCCTGTTCCCACCCGAGGTCCGGGCCGGCAGGGCCCCCGTAGGAGTGACCGGCGAGGCCGCGGGGAGACACTGCAGGTTGTCTGCGGGCCGACTCCTTGGCTGCCGCGTAGACGGCCTTGGCTGGCATTCGGAAGTGTGGGCACGGCCTCCAGCAGGCCTGAGGCGGGGCTCAGGTAACACACCCCGGTCCTTTCTTGAGGAGCTAAGCCTAACGGCCCACAAGCCCTGAGCCAGTGTGGAGCAGAGGTGTCCAGGGAAGGTGACGGAGGCCACAGCGGCACCTCATGTCGCCCGCAGAGGCGAGGCCCACCTCCTGGAAGGCTGAGGGCCAAGCTGAGACTTCCCCCACAGCGAGGCATCCCACAGACGCAGCCGAGGAGGGACAGGCATCTGAGCAGGGGCAGAAGGCCCAGGTGGACAGGCTGGGGCCAAGTGAGGTGGCACGAGCCGCCTGGAGGCGCCCGGGGGCAGAGGCAGGCCCAGGCCTGGTCAGCGAGTCGGCGCCGTGCCGGGCCTCACCTCCGCTTACCTGCAACCCAGGGCAGGAGCGGGACGGGACAGAAAGCGGCTGAGGAGCGCTGGTCTTCAGGGGAGGCCTGGACCCGGCAGCCCTGGTGGGAGCCCGAGGGCAGGGTGGCCCTTATGTGAGCGGCTCATGGCCCACGGCAGGAGCTGGCCTCCCTCGGAGAGCCCTCCCCGGATGACCCACGTCTTCATGTGACCCTGGAAGGAACCAGGAGGCAAGGCCTCGTGAGCGACGACGTCTCGGTGAGTCAGACGAGCACCCATGAGAAGTACCTCACCCTCCCTTCTTCCCCAGAGCAGCGACCCTTTCCCCAGCTGGCGGCCCTCAGCTGCCCCACCCGCAGCCCAGCTGGGGCTCTGCGGAAAACCAGCACCGAGCACAGCAGCCATCTTGTCCCTGTCACCTCCCTGCATGTGCACCAGTTCCCCGCTGGCTGCCCTCACCTTGCGCCAGTCACGCCGCAGTGCTGAGTGCGTTGTGCTGCTGGGTTTGGGAGGCCTCTGAGCCCCTTGACAAGCCTTCATTCAAGATCCAGCTCAACATCCGCAGGAGGTCTTCCCTGGTTTCTTCACTCCGAGTTAGGCACTTCATTGTTGCTAATATTAATATCAATATTATATTTAATATTGCTAATATTTTATTGATATTTTATTTATTCATGAGAGACAGAATGAGAGAGAGACAGAGAGAGAGAGAGAGGCAGAGACACAGGCAGAGGGAGAAGCAGGCTCCCTGCAGAGAGCCCGACGCAGGACTCGATCCCGGGACCCCGGGGTCACGCCCTGGGCCGAAGGCAGCCACTCAACCACGGAGCCCCGCAGGCGCCCCGAGAAGGGATGGTTACAACTGGCCATTACATCCTTGTGGACTACAGACGGCTGCTGTCTCTGTGTGCAGATATGTATGTGCCTGAAGCAAAAGCTGGTAAACAACTATTGAAAAGCTCATTAAGTAGAATCCAGTTTTCATTTTCACTGCAAAAGAGAATCATCTAGAGCCTACGTGAATTCCTGGGTCTTTGCAGAGAACCGAATTTGGATAAGAGATACTAGGTTGAGTACTCACAAAGCTTTATAATAAGAAGAGACACTTATTCACCTTATAAAACACATTTACAAACTCTCTCATTAGATCCTGACAGCAGACTTTCCAGCAAGTGACATAACGTTCAGTCAGCCTTGGGATGCAGACAGGGATGGTGGCGCAGAGGACCTTGCCCTGCTCGGAGCACCAGGGAAGGAGGCCGCAGAAACTCATCCTCCTGGACGCACCGCACGGCCCCACCCAGTGATGCCGAGGGTGTTTTCTTCTCCCCAACCCACATCCCAACTATCTTAAAGTCTTCTTTTGGAGGCAGTACCGGGGTGCTTTGGCACCGGAGGGGCCTGGGTCCCCGTGCCTGCTACGGGTACCTATCAGCTATGTGCACTTGGGTAGTTCGCGGAGCCCCAGAAATAACCTGGGCCTGTTTTTCATATAAAATGATGCCTACCTTGTAAGTTTATTTTGAAAATTAGGATGTGAGAGGCCTAGAATACATTAGTCCTCTCCTGCTCTTCTTGGATCTCAGCTTAGCAGAAGGATTTTACACGGGACACCCGTGAGAGCATCTCGTACTTAGACGATTAGAATGCTCTGATGGCTGAGATCTCGGAGGCTACCTCCATTCCCAACGCAGTGGCGTGTCTGACAGCAGACCCTCGCACATGGGTACCAGGAAAGTGGTGTGCGTGGAGCAAGGGGAATTAAGCAGAATTAGGCTTTAACCCCTTGAAGAACCAAACTTCTTTGGGGCTGTGCTAGCAGCTGTAGACCTTTCTTCCTTAGGGTAAACGTGAGACAGTTAATTCAACGGTTCGCCTTACAAACAAGACACTTCTTTAAGAAACTATATACTTGTGATAAAGAATTTTACTAGGCCAGGCCAGTTGTAGGTCAAGTTCTCCACTCTCCTTGCAGTAAACCTCTACGGTAACAGAGGCCTGACGAGTGCCACAAAAGAACTAAAGCATTACCTTTCTTTTTTTAATTTTTTTTTTATGATAGTCACACACACACACACAGAGAGAGAGAGAGAGGCAGAGACATAGGCAGAGGGAGAAGCAGGCTCCATGCACCGGGAGCCCAATGTGGGATTCGATCCCAGGTCTCCAGGATCGCGCCCTGGGCCAAAGGCAGGCGCCAAACCGCTGCACCACCCAGGGATCCTAAGCATTACCTTTTTATAGATGTGCTAATAATCATAGAATTTGGCTCCCCTGGGAGCGCCGGGGTGGCTCAGTTGGTTAGGTGTGTGACTCTTATGAATCTCAGCTCAGGTCTTGATCTCAGGGTCCTGAGTTCAAGTCCTGTGTTGGGCTCCACGCTGGGGGTGGACCCTACTTAAAAAAAAAAAAAACAGACCAAAAAAACGTGACTCCACTGGAGACACAGCTACTAGTTATCACTTTGGTGGTGATATCTCTAGGGAGAGGCAAATAGGCGTCTAGGAAGGGCACAAATTCAGAACGGAGCCTGGGTGGGAAAGCAATTTGCCTGGTGCCATAAACCGAGACTGAAAGGTTTAGGAGAAGAGGATAGACAGATGTTCCATTCTGAGGGATACTGTTGGACCTGGCGGTGGGATTCGATCCAGGAATAGAGGAAGTTGAAGGGAAGGGGAAAAGATGAGCATCAGGCCAGTGTTCCCCAAATAAGAGTGACGGGCTATCAGCTTCCTGTGGGTGGGCCCCCACCTCAGCTGACAGCTGACAAAACAAGAGAGCACATTCCCTTAATTGGAGGGAGGAAAAAAGGGAAGGTCAGAGGCGTTCCAAGCATTGCCATTTATACTCGTCCGCTGAAGGGGAAGTATTGGTTTTCTTTTTTATTAGTATAAAAATATCACAGGCTTCAAGCCACTCCCACCAGGCTTCTGTCTCCAACAGCACACGGAGATTGTCCTTGGTCTCCAATGACTTTTTGCATCTAATAGACACTTCACTATCCTTTTTACTAGGCCCCAAGACAGAATTAGCCACAGCGGGCCAATAGGTCCTTTTTGAAATTCTTGCTCTTGGCTCCCTAGACACCCCGCTCTGGTGTTTCTCCTCCCTCACGGACTGTCCCTCCTCGACTGGACCTCTTTCTGTTGGTGATCTCCAGACCTAGGTCCTGGATCCCCTTCTCTGACTTTCTCCTTGGATGAGCACATCCAGGATGATTTCTTCCCCACCAAACCTGCCTGTTCACAGCTCCCTGCCTCAGTAACCACACCGCTCCCTGCCCCCTGCTGGAATAGAGTCGTTCTTGATTTTTGCGGCCCTTCATCCCTCAAGTGTCACGCGGCAGTACGTCTTTCGTAACGCAGCTCTGATCTATACACGGCTTCCCGGGTGTGCGGCCTCCTCCGGTGCAGGTGACCTGTTTTACGGTTTGATCGTTGCAACATCTCTACTCTGGCTCTCCAGTCCACTGTCCACATGACGGCTTCTCATTGCAGCTGGACCGCGACCGGAGCTCCTTAGCAGGGCCTCATCAGGCCTTGTGTGATCTGGCTCTTAATCTGTGCCACTCCCTTTGCTCACTACACACCAGACCTACTTGCCTTCCCTAAACATCTCCAAGACATCACTTTCCTCCTCCCCAGCTCTTTGCAGTTGTTGTTCGGCTTGGCAGCGTTCCTCCTCATCTTAGCACGGCCACTTTTTTTGCATCCTTCAGGTCTCAGCCTAAATGTTAACTTCCCAACATCTTATTTAAAGCAGAATTCTCAGGCGCCTAGATGGCGCAGTCGCTTAAGTGTCCAACGCTTGGTTTCAGCTCAGGTCGTGATCTCAGGATCATGGGATCGAGCTCCATGTCAGGCTCTTTCTCTGTCCCTCTGCTCCTCCACCTGTCACCCTCGCCCTCTCTCTCAACCAAATAAATCTTTAAAAAATAATAAAGAATTCTCTATCTGCTCAATTTTTTTCACTGTATTTGAATCACATCTATTTTCTCGACGGTTGTCTGTATGAACCAAAAATTAAGTTCCTTGAGGACAGGGCTATGTAGGCTTTGCTCATCACCATGTTTGTATTAGTTGGCACATTAGTGAGGGTACTTAAATATTCTGTGGCTTGAGGAATGGGAAAGATACTTCAGCCCAATGTAGTATTTATGCCCAAACCCTGGTCCATCAATGCGGCCAGGGAGACACAGTCTTGGAAGAAGATGGCAAGTCCCATCAGGATATGTTGCTGAAGCATAGGGATGAGGACACTTCCACAAGAGGAAAAGAATAGCCCAAACTGGTTCCTGGGGTTACTGTGGGCTAGGCAGTGGTCTCAATTTCTATAACACAATAAAATCCTATCTCCTGGTTTTTCTCCCATTAATTTAGTAATTCCTTTTTTCCTTCACTTGTTTTGAGTTCTCAGTCATTATTCCTGGTCTGAAAGATTACATGCTGGAATTGCCCGAATGTGAGTTACAGAATCCTACTTTCCTAAAAATTAGCTAGCTTACCCAACGATTTCCTGACAATGTGCCCAACATTCATGGAGCATTACCATCAATGTTCAACATACTAGTAGTAGCAGAGAAGCGAGCAAACGTTATCCTTGATGATGCGACTATGAATTAACTTATGTCAGTAAATACTTGTGTCCTAAACATTAGGAGGGTAAGCTTTTGAAGCCTTAATTATATTAATTAAAATAATATTAAGGGAGTCTTATCTCACAAAAACAATTCCAAAAAAACTAATACTGAAAAGTTTTTATTTCCAAGATCAAATATTACAACAGGACATTTACATGTATTTATAAAAAAATGCAGCAGTTGAATTTATAGATCAGAGGTTTCCTTGAGTTTGGTCCCTCTCTCAGCACAGTGAGCTGATGTCTTCAAAAGATTTATCCCACTCCCCTCCCTCCCCCACCCCGAGTGCCCTCCCCACCCCCCCTTCAAGTTGCAGTACCAATATAAAGCAACTGGGTACAACACAGCAAATATATTCACAATTTGGTACAGCCAAAACCAGAGGATCACCAACTGAAAGACCCTCTCTTTAGAAATTATTTACC